GTCTTCTTAACATTTCCCCACAAACTATAAACTAAGAATTAATACCAAAGCAAACAGGGTTCCTTCATATATATTCAAGGCACAGATCTTTAAGCCCCATCTTACCAGCAAAGTGAGCACTATTCCCAGTATGACTCCCTCAAATCAACTCCTTGACAACTCATTTCAGTCTGACACTGTTTCCAGCCCCAACCCCTTCAACTATACAGGACTTCATTAGGTCCACTTTCAGCCTGACCCTCTGTACCTAACTGTATTCCCAGCCTGACCCCCATCTACACTCCCACTTTTATTTAGAGTGGTTTGCTACAGTGGCATTCTACTTGAAAAGATTTTGCTGAATTTGGGTTGTTAGAATTTGCTCAAAGTACACAGCTTCCAATTGGTTCAGTGGCACAACAATTTACAGCTTGGAGGCGCAGAACACAAAAGTGGCAGCTTGTTACAACAACAAACAACAACAAAATTACATGTGTAAAGCCTAAGGCCCTCTCCTACATACACCTATAGATACAGGTAGGGATACCTGAAAGGTTATGAATAAAAATTATTCTCAAAACAAACTTGCTCAGACAGCTTTGTGGATTTCTCCAGTGAGTAACTGAGCCATACACACAAGGTTCAAGTCCAAGGTTCAATCTTTGCTCTGTGCTGAATTAGCTCTCAGCCAGATCACACTTGGGTACTAGATTCTCTTGTGACCTTTGGGTTATAGAGAAGCAAAATCAACCAGGGTTCCTTCACAATAACTATCCTACAACTCTACCAGAGGAGAACTTCTGTGGACGTTGGTTGACGACTCGATCGAGCTCGACTGTAATGCCCTTGAAGTTGAATGCCCTGCCACTATTCACTGGATAAAGCACTGACTTTCCAGTTCTGTCAGACTGTTGGGGGTAGGGGCAAAGCAGAAGCTCGATAGAAAATGATCAGCTGAGTTTTCCTGGACTGGAGTTGTTACTGCAGATACCTATAGATTATGATGCAAAATCTCTACAAACTATTTTGTTTTCTACAAATGGGTTTCATTATTTTATGGAAAAATCTCTTTGGAACTAAGGATAGAGATCCCAGAGATTGCTTTTCTAATTTTTAAAAATTTATTAGCAGTTTACAGCTATTGTTTCAAATAGTGATACTACTACTAGTAATAATAATCCTCGTATTTGATATAGCACTTTATCACATCTTCAAGACGTCTCAAAGCGCTTCACAGAATATACCGTAAAGTGAATTGACTATATTTTGCGGGCGAAACGCTGCAGCCAATTGTACACAATAGTGTCCCACAAACAGTCATGGATTGAGGATTGAGTGCCCAATTTATTATTTTTTTTGGAAGGAATTATTACCCCCGAAAAAGCGATCCGCCATTCGACTAACGACCAGGTTCCTAATTAGTGCTGGTAAATAGATGTGTGTGGAGTAAGGAAACTTGCCCAACATTTCACTCTACTAATCTAGAAATTGGGTTGAATGTAAGCTTGTGCTCTTGAAGCAGATCTGAGGTAAATTATTCATGTAAAGGAGCAGCTTCCATATAGAACATTTAATATGACTAAGCTAACAAGCACTGCAGGGTGTTTAAACTGAGATCCCATCTGCCTGTTAAAGATCTCATGGCACTGTTCGAAAAGAGTTGGTTGTTCCTCGTGCTGCCTTGGTCAACAATCCCCCTGATGAAATTGGGCATTCACTTTCATAAGAATACAGATTTGAGTATAAAAGTTGAAAACGTGTGGCCCCAACAGTCCAATTGACTCCACATTCACTGCCTTGTCTTGAACCCCACCACACAAATAAAAATCTCCTGAGATAGACTGGAAGCCATTTGAAATCAGCCTGTAAAATTTCTCCCTGACCTCTGATCGTCATCAAATAAAATTCCAGGATATCAATTTGTGAAGTTTTGTTGAATATTTCTACAACTTTACTCAGCCTTGCGTGAACTTCCACTGACATTCTAAATGAAAGCAGCAGCCCTCCAAGAGTTATCGCCAGCGTTGTATTTTACAGATTTTATTTTAAGAAAAAATAATTTTCTATGCATATGAATGAATCTGACCGCATACGTTTTTCTTAAACGGAGATGCAATTGTAAAGAATGGTTAAATAAATGACAAGAGAAGACATTCGGATACTGATAGCTGCCGTCTAAGTGAAAAATGTCCAGAGCAAAGAAAGGAATAAAGAAAAATGAAAAGTCGAGGGTAAAACAGTTCAAATTCTTGATAATTAGCAAATAATACATTTGTGGCTACATACTGCAGTCGCTATGCCCTGCTCTCATCACAGCCCCGCGCTCTCTATGGTCACAGATCATCCCCCACCCCGCCCAGACTGCGTGTCCTGGTCAGGCCCCCTACCCCCAGACAGTGTGTCCTGATCACAGACCCCTCCCCAGGCTCTGTGTGCCCTGGTCACAGACCTTGCCCTCCCCAGCCTCTACGCCCTGTCACAGCAGCCCCCAGTCTGTGTGCCCTGGTCACAGACCTCACCCCCCCCCAGTCTGTGGGGCTTGTTCGCAGCCCCCCCCCCCCACAGTCTGTATGCTCTGGTCACAGCCTCCCCCGCCAGTCTGTGTGCCCTGGTCACAGCCCCCCCCCCCCCCAGTCTGTGTGCCCTGGTCACAGCCCCCCCCCCCCAGTCTGTGTGCCCTGGTCACAGCCCCCCCCCAGTCTGTGTGCCCTGGTCACAGCCCCCCCCCCCCCTGGTCACAGCCCCAGTCAGTGTGCCCTGGTCACAGCTGCTGCTCTTGCTGCTGACAGACTAGGCCCGGCTCGGCCCTGACGGTCGGGTCAATCCAATGCAAAACAGTAAACGGACAGACCTGTCACAGGCTGACGGTGTCGGCGACCCGGGGCCGGCGGGGGTGTGACAAGGTGAAGCTGGCGGTGGCCGGAGTTGCCTGTCAAGACAACGGGGTGGGTTGGGGGGGTGGGGGGGGGTGGGGGGCGGTGCGGTGGACGTCAGTGAACGTGACGAGCAACAGCCCAGGTTCCGCCGCCGCCTCCACCACAGCCCGGGGGCTGGCTCGGTGACCTCACTTCCGCTTCCGCCCTGAGCCCGGTCGCCAGGCAACCGGCGAGCCGTTTCCTGTGTGGGCCTCACACGCCCGTCACCAGTGAGGGTGCAGCAGCTGCTCGCGCATCGCCTTCTTCTCTGTTCCACTCCTTTTGTCACTCCTTCGCAGCAATAAGTAGGAACTCAGTTGTTGGTCGACTTGACAGCGGATGGCTTTTCCGGCGGTGGGCGGGGGAGGGGGTCAATGATCCCCAACGACTTGGGTTTGCGTAGCGCCCTCCGCCCGGGATGGCGTCCCCGCAGCGCCTTGTGATACTCCCTTCCAAACGAGGGAAGAATCGTAACAGGGATCTGGTCACTCAGCCCTCGAACTGCTGGCGGCGACGCAGCTGTGCGCCGTTGGCTGCCGCCTTTCTCGCCCGCAAAATATTGCGGCCAATTCGCTTTGCGGTATATATTCCGTGTGGCGCTTTGAGACGTCCCGAAGACGTGATTAAAGAGCGATGTCAAATGCACGGATGATTATTATTATATATATATATATATATTCAAAGGAGATTTGTTCCTGAAGTTTAAGGGATATTTTTGCACCTTTGGGAGCATTATTTGTGAAGGGCGTTTTTTGTTTTTGTGATTTGCCAAAATTATGCACTCAGAATTTTTTTTTAGAAATCAGTCATTAAAACATACTGTACACCTACTTAGGAATGATCTCTAGGGAGTAAAAAAAAGTCTCCACATGTTTCTGCTCCTTTTCTTATCAGGACAGATTCCCGCTGAGTGGAAATTTTGGAACAGTTTGTAGTCAGTCGTTGACCAGTATGAAAATTGCACGGGTCACAGTAAACAAATTAATGGAGGTTGCGGAAGAAAACAGACAAGTACATTATTTAAACATAAAATATGTATTATATAGATCAAAGAAAAGTTCAAATAGTAAGTATAGAAGTGTGAATATGGAAAATGGGGAGAGTAGAGAATTTCTTTTAAATAGATTTAGAATAGTTAGAAATTTTATATTGTGAACATACTAATACATTATAGTTATTTACAAAGCTAATATTTAAGGAGCTAAGATATTTATGTTCACAATGGATAAATTACTGCCTTTAGAAACCGAGCTACACGAATGAAGTACAGCATTCCAGAGAGCTGTTGGCAGATTGAGGATTAAACTTTGTTATAAAAATGATTAGTAACAAGAAATCCAAAAGCATTACAAGTCTAGTACCACAAAGGTATTTTATTCAATTTCAATGATGCCTAGACACGGTTAAAAAAATTCATCAACACCCATTGAAATGTTATGAATAGTGTCATAACATATTTATTTCTTAAATTAGAGCATTTACAAGGGTGGGAAATGAACATCAAAAGATGTACACCTTTATATTATCTAAACTGAAGCAATTATCCACCTTTTTAAAAGCCTACAGAAAGCAGCTATACTTCAAAACATTTAACTTGCAGGAGCCCACCCCAACGTTAAATCAAAGACAAATACCAAACACGAGAACAAAGATGCTCAGTGCATTCAATTGGTCTTCTCAGTTAAATGTACGTGTTCACTCCAGTGTTAACAATTTCCCAAGGAATAAACAAAGTGCAGTTATTTCCCTTCAACATCAGTGTAATCTCTATATTTAGAATATTTTCTAAATCTGAGATTGTAAATAAATATGAAGGTCATAAAATTCCAAGGAATGGAATGGAATAAGTGTGACAGCAAATGTCAGCAGTGAGTCTATTAATGACAGCTTCAGAAAAGCACCATTGCTGCACTATAATTCATAGTACTCTATACATAATTTAAAAATACACAATTACAATCTACTTTACAGTATATCCTGTGAAGTACTTTGAGATGCCTCAACAAAGTGACAAGGCACAATATCAAAATGCAAGAATTATTATTAATTAAAACATTTCCTTGAAATGTTCAATGTAGTTCACATTTATGTGCTCCTATTAACCTGGCATATCTAACAACTTTAAGACTTTAGGGTAAGGTAGAATTAGAACCTAAGAATCTAGAGAAATTTGAAAATAAAGAGCGTTACTTAGTGCAAAATCAAAGCAGAAGGCATGAATGCAATACGAAACTCAATGCACACTTGAGGTAGAAGGGAATTGAGGGATATGGAAGGAGGAAAGGGGATTCGGAGGGGTGGAGGTTTGTGTGCAGTATAAATACCAAAACATCCAGTTGGGTCAAATGGCCTGTTTCAGTGTGGTAGTCTATGAAATTCTAATTAAAATGCAAAAAATTAGAGTTAAGATTTAAAAACAGATCCAAGAATAATACAATTAACACCACTGAATCACACAAAAGCTTAGATTTTTCAAGAGTACTCCAAAATGTTCCTATTGCAGTATTCCTAAGTGACATTTTCAAAATATTGAAGAAACACCAAAGGATGGTGTTTCTGAAGTTCTCGGAGCAGCTTCTTCTTATTCTTTGTTGATGTATTAGAATTTTGACTGATATCCTGGACTAAGTGCTGAAGATGCTCTGTGGTAATCTGATGCTTTTGCTCCTCAAACTCCTGCTGAGTCACGTGTTGACAGAATGTGAAGCCTACAAAAAAATACATTTTAAAAAAATACACATTTCTATACCAAACATGCCAGAATAAATAAAATGGAATTGTGTTATTCATGAATGCCAAAATCAGATTTCAAGTTTTTGAGTACTTTATAACAGACACCTGAACAAATCTAATTCTTACCATTGAATGGTGCTAAACTTCTGCCTCAAAATACATTATTTTAATATAGTACATTATTCTAGGCTTTTTCATTGGCGATGCCCTAGAGAAAACCTGCAAAATTATAATTATAATTATAAAATCCTAATTATAGCAAAACTTTTAAAGTCATTTCTATTCTTAAATCACCATGTATAAATTGGCTGCTGCGTCTGCCTACAAAATGCAGCGACTACGCTTTACAGTAAATCCTGTGCAGCGTTTTGAGACATCCTCCTGAGGTGAAAGGCACTGCATCAAATGTGAGGATTATTATTTGAATAACATTAAAACACTTTCCAAGTTTCTATGAATCATTGGCTACACACCCCTACATGTATGCAATACTTAAACCTAATAAAATGTATTTTTGGAAACACTGTAAACCTAAAAGAGAACAAAGTGGAACTTGACCAGATTTATATATTTTTCAGACCCATGCTATAAAGACATCAAGTTTGTAACTCTGAATTTCAACATACCAGTCATAATAATAATAATCCCTCCAAAACAAAATAATAAAATTGGTCATTTTCAATCCACGACTGTTTATGGGACACTGCCTTGCGCAATTGGATGCCGCTTTTCGCCCACAAATATACGGTCAATTCACTTTACAGTATATTCTGTGAAGCGCTTTGAGACGTCTAGAAGATGTGAAAAGCGCTACATCAAATGCAAGGATTATTACTAAAGATTTTCCTTTGTTACGTACAGTTTTTTTTCAGCAAAAGGGTTCTCGAGCAGTATGTGCTTATTGAAATAGTATTTTGATTCCAGTGTTGTGGCTAAAGTATTGAGCTTCAAACTATTGTAATGAGCAATCTATCTAAAACAGGGCTCAGGTATCCAGCCAGCAATGTAAAGCACTTTGAGACATCTTCCTGATGTGAAATGTGTTATATAAATGTAAATTGCATTGTGAGGTGCGTGATCGGGTGTGCCTTATGGTACCTGAAATATAATCTGGATCCTCTCCTTCTTGAAGGGAAAGAAGTTTCTTCCTGACCATCTGAAGTAGAGTAGTAGGAATCTGTATATTTGAAACAGAAAATATATAGCTAGTTCTCCCCAACATTATGCAAAATGGAATCTTACCATATTTACTGTAAATTATACCTTGAAAAGGTCAGTGTGATTATCCATGAGGAACATGACCAGCTCCTCGGTCTGTATTTTTGACAGAGCCTTGCTTTGTATAATAGCTTTGGTAAATGTTTTTATCATTACAGTCCTGTTGTCATTCTGCAAAACAAGAGATGGTTATTAATATTTTCAACAAGAATTAATGGTAAGGGGTATAAAGGTTAATAGAAAACTTAAATAACACAAAGGACAAGGCCATTTGGGTTTCATTTACACGTCTGACCTTAGAGATTTGATATTAACTGGCATACGAGTCTGAATTTTAATAAGCACTCAGAATCTTATTTTGTACATCTCACTGAAATGTAAAAAGCCAATTTAAGACAAGTTTGCTGAGATCAACTGAATTGTTAAACAAGCCAGTGGAAATCTAAAATGAACTTCACTTACCACCCAAAAATACCGCTTAATGCTTGTTCAATGGGCAGTTAATGCAACAAGCACCATAGTTCACAGAAAGGTTGCAAGTTAAATTTAAACCTTTATCTAAATAAGCATAAGTTCAACACAATTAGAATATCTCGAAATGTGCACTTTAACAGGTTTAAAATTTTACAACAAGATTTCATTTAATCACAATACAAACTTCCATTTATATTGTAAATACACCTTTCACATTGGGATAACACCCCAACTCCTTAACAATCCTGGCTTGACGCCCGAGCTGGGGGTGGGAGGGAAAAGATGTCCGAAAACGCAGTTAAAAAGGTCGATCTTGAGACACATATTTATATACATGTATATGTTGAAGTGTTGACCCATATTGCAAGACATTGGTAAAATACTACAGTATCAATACAGTGAAGACATTTTGTGTCCAAGCCTCTTTAATGTGACGTTTACACAGAATGTCTGCTTTTGGGAGACTCTACCAGCAGTATCAAGAGTTTTAGATGCATTCTCTTGCTGTAAAAATGCAACTAGACCTGTTTCTGTAGTTTGTAGGCTTCAGGGTGTGCTCCAACAGCCATGAATGACAACAGACTGTGCAGTTCCTCTCTGCAGTTAGGCTCCAGCAAACGAAGACAAAGCTGTGTAGCTTCAAGAGCTTGTCCAGTCTTTCCACACTCTGTTGTTTAAAGAGGTATTAATTACGTATAAAAAAATACAAACAGGTGGCACTGTTATGAGGTGTTTCTGTGTACAAAGCAAGTATAATGCAAAAAACTTTGTATATATGGTTTCCATCTGATAGTCTTCCAGAGTGCACATTATTAAACTTAGCTTTATTCCTGACTTATTAGCCTGTCCAGGCTGCAGCTACTTGCTGCAACAGGTTTGACTAATTTTTTTTTACCCGTTTGCTATAAGTAGATTTTAAACTTAGCATTTTCATACCTTAGAATTTTCCAGTTACCTAGTCATTAAATTTGATTTGTATTTCCAATCTTTCTATGTATCGATTAAATTATGTATAGATTAAATTATGTAAATGCTCTGAGACGCTTCCCTGCGTCGAGGGCGCTATATAAGCGCAAGTTGTTGTTGTTTAGATTTTTTTTAAAAACAAATACTATAACTGAAAATTCAAATTCCACTATAAATCAGTTAGATTAAGGATACTTCTATGTTTCTTATGTTCTACTTATGACAATAAACGTACTTGACTCTGGATTGGGATTTACTTTCATGTGCTGCTTATATATTTTAGTATAGATGATTTAGACCTGGACCAACTGATTCATTAATATTGCAGGCGATCTTCTTTGGTCAGCCAGGTATCTATCAACAATACTAATAAAGACGTAATGTCTGTATCTGTAAGAACTCCATGACCAATTGATGTAGAGACATGATTTATACCTCATCGGAAAGGTCTTTTATGGGCTGAGTGTCATAGGCATATGTTTTGGTGGTGGTGGGGGATCTCCTTTCGTTGATGAGCTATGACCTAAACAAGCTCACCACACATGTATGGCAGTTTTGCTAAAGGTGTACACAGTGTTTATGGCATGTTAAATGGTTTGTGAGTGGTATCACTAAAATCTACATGCCATATTGGATCCTTTGGTTGCAAGCATAGTGGCAACGGGTACAGCTAGTATAAGATATGTGAAAAACCATCACCGTGCTCAAGTCTCCAAATAACCAGAATTCAACATATGATTTCCATTTGACTGGTAGCAATGAACCCTGTTTACCGAATCCCAGAAGGCTTAGGCACATTTGGCAAGAACCACGACTCGTGGACCTCAGAGTTCACCTTGGGATACTGCTGAGCTTAACTATTACAGAATACCATTACAGAGCACTGGTAAGCTTCCTTCTGCTTGTGCAATAAGAATCACCACACCCACACAGCTAAAGCAATATGTTATACATTTTAAGATTGAAAAGAAATATCTGTCGGATTACAGGTATTAAAGATCATTTACATATCTTTGAATAAAAGAATTCCTCACCTAGAAGATCAATTATGCCTGAATGAATGTCAAAATACCGGCTGGCAAGAAGCTGCTCTCTGTCCTGACTGTAGTACTTGGCTATAGTTTCAAACAGCAGTTTCTTGTGTTCTTCTATGTCCTTTTTACCATTGCTGGTTTGAGGCAATAGCTGGCTGACCAGTACTATCAACTGATCTGGGAAATACTGCAGGCAATCAATGGCAACCAGGAGCCACTTATCAACACTGAAGACAAAAAAAACACAAAATGTAGTTAAAAATACAACTTACCTGCATTTTGACCAGAGTTTACATTCATTTTAGTCACATTTAGGATTGTTTTATTAGAGGACTCTTAATGTAATTGCAAACCAGTTGCAAGATTTTCTTTATATTGATGGTGAAAGATTACTGTTGCTGAAAGGAACAATTTCATTTTCGGTACCCAATTTCAGCATCAAACATTCCAAGGTCAATATTAGTATTGCCAGATGCAGAGCAAACCTCCTTTGTTTATGCCTAAACAGTGGATCATGTGCTAGTTAGATAAATATATAACAACAAAATTACATTTGTATAGCTCCTTTCACGTCGGGAGGATGTCCCAAGCCTGCAATGAGTTTATAAGTACATATGTTCACTCTAACTAACATAGAAGAGTAGCTGATGCTAGACCAGTTCCAAAGTTTCAATTTCCCACACTACTAAATTACAGTGGCAATCCTAATTTGTGACATCTGATGCAAAGTTTTGTTCTATGGATTCATGTCCTCAAGGAACAGAGTTAAAATTTCCCAGCCTCATTGAATGCAGAACTATTAGAGCCAAAAGAGAGAATAGAATTAATTCCATAATTTTAAACTGCTTTTGAATACAGAGATGCTAAGAAATTGGCTAAACCGGGGCCCCACTAAGTCCTCCTTAGACTTTATAACAAATGGCATATTGAGAAAAATTATGCATTTGTGGCTACTTTGGATTGATTACAGTAAACATCTGAGACACATAAAAGCACATTAATGGCCTACACCAACTAGTTCAATTTGAATAATCTTCCATCTTTTGAAAAAGCCCACATTTAATAATAATAATAATAATAATAATCCTTGCATTTGATATAGCGCTTTTCACGTCGGGAGGACGTCCCAAAGCGCTTCACAGAATATACTGTAAAGTGAATTGACTGTATATTTTGTGGGCGAACGCGGCAGCCAATTGCGCACAGCAATGTCCCACAAACAGTCGTAGATTGAAAATGACCAATTTATTATTGTTTTGGGTTTTTGGAGGGATTATTATTAGGCGTGTGGAGTAAGGAAACTTGCCCAAGGTTTCGCCCTGCCTGGAATTGAACCCAGGTGTCTTGCTTGCAAAGCAAGTGCTCTAACCACTGAGCTACAGGACTCCGAATTAGATTTGCAATTAGACATTTAGGTTCCATGTTACCTCAATTTAAATGATAAACTCTATAAAAGTATTGCTTTCAAATACTAACTATGATAGGTTTAGGCTCTGAGTAACCTCTCTGTCCAGGAACGTGTTGGAGATAATGAGGTCAGTTTGCTGATTGCACTGAGCTATTCTTCTAGGTTCCACCTTCAACGGAGACTCCAGAATACTGTCCAAGACTGGAAGATCAATTAAACGTAGCAGCAGCAACAAAGTCTCCTGTTTCCAAACATCGTTAACAACTGTAATAGAACAAGCCATTGCAAAAAGTAGAAGAGAAGCATGGCAGAAACATGGTTAGAGTTTACATGCTGAGTTAGAAACAAACATTCACGTAGTGATAGTGTTAATTTATATACATCGAAGGGAATTTTCCTGTTATTGTCAAGGTTTACCATTGTGAAGTGTGTCTAAACGTTAGGTAAATAGGTTATCCAGGACAAACAGTAAACATTCAAGACTTGGATACCTACTAAGATTATTGGAAGATTTAGACAATGCAATTTTAGTTCCTCAGATCTTTAAATGTCAACAGTGAGACAAAACACACAAAATGATCCATACACAGAAAAAGATTTTTTTTTTTTTAACATGTTGCAAACAATATAAAAATAGTTACCTTTGGTTGACAACAGGCTAGCAGTCTTAATTACTTTTAGGTTTGGAGGCAGGGATGGATGCAAGTTAATAGTTTGAAAAAGCTCTTCTATTCTTTTGTCACAGGATTCGAGCGCAACAGGATTTGAAATGGTTATTTGGTCTGGTCTGCTTAAAGCAAATAACAAAAGTTACATAAAAGCAAGAGAACTACTGAGTTACTTTTACACAATATATTTTAGAATAAATGTTCTTGTTAGAGTACTGAAGCTCAGAATGTTAGAACATAGGCTACAACAATGATTCTCCACTGTAGGTCCCAATCTCATCTGTACAGGTGAGTTTTTTTTAAACCAAACATTTTTACCAAATAGTGTGACTAGATATTTGAATACAAGTTTAAATGAAATGCAACATGTGATCATAATGAGTTTTCGAAACATACTTAGGAAATTTCTTCCTCGTAACCAGTTTTCTTCCAGGTGAAACATTTTCAATTTCTTCATCTCTTTCAGCTCCTAGTAAAGTAGAGTTATCCAAAAATTTGTAGAACATGCTATTACTGTCCTCAAACACTATCTTGCACTCTTGCGTAAACAGCTTTGTGCCAATTTGATCGAACACTTTGTGATCCATTAGAGCTTGGCAGAGACGTGTGGCCTTTATGCGTGATATATCATTATTACTAAAGTACACATTTTGCATCAGATGACTCAGTACCACATCCACAGCATCTGAACCGCTGAAGCAGTCACTGTACGTTCTCAAGAATCGTCTGTGTCGCTTCACCTCTACCTGTGTCTGGAGAGCATGAATAATATTATTCCAGAGCTTCGTTGCACAGAAAGGGCCTGAACGACCTAAAAGAAAATTAAAACATTGGATTAGAAGAATTATAATCATAAAGTACTGTCAAATGAGCAATTATTTATAAGTGAGAAGGAAGGAACAGACAAGTTAAGGAACAAACAAATGTGGCCAAATTACTATAATCATTCCACTGTACTTGCTGATTTTGAAAAATAAAACAACATATATAAATTGAAAAATGGCATAGTAGAGGCAACAGTGTTGTCTCATGGAATATTAGTATTATTTCTAGAAAAATCCACATTCTACCAGCAAGACCGATCTTCATTCCATCAAAATAAAGTACTTCTTTAAGATTCTCAAAAAATCTTAAATTCAACTCTTGGCTTTAATTCTGAAAATTCTGATTTGTCTGGAAAATATTGATGTTATGTGGGGTGCAGCAATACTCTGACATGGCATGACCACCTAATGTTAATGGAGATGATCCAACACCTGGCAGCTAATCCTAAAATAAAACAGGAAATAAACTCTGAATCTGAGAATATAACAATTTCCATTTATAAAGCCCCCTTCGTGTAAAGTAACATCTTGGTGTGCTCATTACTGAAGTGACTGTAGGCACGGTAAAGAGGTAAGCTATAATTAAGTACCTTTTGAAAATAGATGGAAAGATGGTTGGGTGAGAGTATCATACCTGACAACTCAGAGAATCCGGCACATAACTGCTTGTTACCTACAGCAGAGTGGATATATTGCAGGGACAGATTAGGGTTTATCCCTTTGCATTGCTCAAAATAATTATTGGCAGCTTTTATAATCTCTTTAGAGACAGATTGCATCTGATCGTTTTATTTAATACATTTTCTGACTACTAATTATGAAGTATCAGTTGTTACCAATGGATTAATAAAATACTCTGGGGGGGGCACTGCAAACAACTTTTAAACTAAACAAACAATTAAAACACTGAGGCGTTTGGTAAGTAATCAACAAGCAATCTCCTCCGGATATTCTAATAATAATCCTTGCATTCGATATAGCACTTTTCAAGTCTTCTAGATATCTCAAAGCGCTTCACAGAGTAATAATAATAATCCTTGCATTTGATATAGCGCTTTTCACGTCGGGAGGACGTCCCAAAGCGCTTCACAGAACATACTGCAAAGTGAATTGACTGTATATTTGTGGGTGAAACGCAGCAGCCAATTGCACACAGCAGCGTCCCGCAAACAGTCGTGGATCAAAGTGACCGATTTATTAAAAAAAAATTCTTGAGGGATTACTCTCAGGCGCGTGGAGTGAGGAAACTTGCCCAAGGCTCCGCCCGGCCAGGAATCAAGCCCAGGTCTACCCGCTTGCGAGTCAAGTGCTCCAACCGCTTGAGCCACGGGACTCTTGTCATCCTGTGTGGGATGAAAGCCCCAGTCCATATTTTCAAAAAGAATTTCAGCAATTCATAACCATTGCTGAAATAGCCCCTGTGTGTAACTCAGGCTCTCTGGACTGTCCCTGAATGTCTACTTGAAGTCACGGTCTAATGGGTATCCTATCAAGTGGTTGAAATGGAGGTTATTATTTGGTTATAACCAAGTGTCTGAAGCAGGGGCTGGAGTAACCGAGCAGGCTTTCACCTGGATAGATTTGGCAGGTGGCGGTGAGTCCGAGTGGGTTTTTTTTTTCTTCCGCCACTGCTCACGAAATGCAGTATCACAGCACATCTCTCTCTGCTCCTCCAACACGGAGCAGCGAGCGGACATCCTCGAGCAGCCCCGAGCCACACACACCCCCACACCCACCCACAGACAGAGAGAGAGAGAATAAACAGGGAGAGACGGTAAAGCTGGGGGGGGGGGGGGGGGTTCAGTCGCACCTGTTCGCCTCAGTTTCACCCTCAGGGAGCTGCTGCTCTCCAGCCTCCGGAACCGAGGCGTTAAATTCACCGCCATAACCGCCTCCCGCTGACGTCAGCCAACGGCCAACCGCCTCGCTCGCGCCTCCCGCTGACGTCACGTCAGCCAACGGCCAACCGCCGACCGCCTCGCTCGCGCCTCGCGCTGACGTCAACCCGCGCCTGCGCCGTGCATTGAGCGCGCTGCCGCCGCCGCCCTGTTCGTAACCTCCGCTACCGCGACGTGTGGGTCATATATATCACCTGATAACTTTTCTACAAGCAGACGATCAGCTTTTTTTCTTGTATAATAGCGAATAATAATCATCGCTGTATTTGATCGAGCGCCTTATCGCGCCTTCGAGACGTCTCGTGGGAAACAGGAGGAGGCCATTCAGCCCTTCCGGCCTGTTCCGCCATTTGGATTACATCAGGACCCATACAGCGCAGAAACAGGCCATTCGGCCCAACCTGGACTGTGCCGGTGTTTATGCTCCACATGAGCCTTCTCCTGCCCTTCCTCACCTGAGCCTTCAAGCATAACCTTCTATTCCTTTCTCCCTCATGTCCCCCTATCGAGCTTTCCCTTAAAGACATCTTGTGCTGTTTGCCTCAACATCTCCCCGTGGAGCGTGTTCCACATTCCCACTTCTCTCTGTGTGAAGAAATGTCTTCAAACTTCCCTACTTGATCTATTTGTGACTTATTTTATATGGATGGCCCCTGGTTTTGGTCTCCCCCACAAGTGGAAACATCTTCCCTGTGTCTACCCGATGAAAAGCTTTCATCATTTTAAAGACCTCTACCGGGTCACCCCTTAACAACAACAACAACAACAGCTTGGATTTATATAGCGCCCTCCACGGATGGCGTCTCCGAGCCTTCACAGTAACGGATCCCGGGACCGAGCCAGGGGGAGGGGGAGGAAGGTGACCAAAGGCGCGGTGGAAAAGAAAGGTCTTCAGCAGAGACCTGAAAATGGGAAGGGAGGGGGCGAGACGAAGGGAGTGAGGAAGGCAGTTCCAGAGCCTCGGGGCATAGTGGCTGAAGGCACGGCCGCCGAGGGTGGAGTGGAGGACGAGGAGGAGGCCAGACCTGGAGGAACAGAGGCAACGGGCACTGTTTTGAGGAGAGAGGAGGTCAGAGAGCTCGGGGGGTGCAGGACTCGGAGTGCAGGGACTTGAATACGAGGGTGAGGATCTTGAAATCGATCCTTTCTGGGATAGGCAGCAGTGCAGTCTGGCAAGGACTGGGGTGATCGGGGAGCGGAGTTTCGTGCGGGTGAGAATGTGGGCGGCAGAGTTTTGAATGATTTGGATTTTATGAATGGTGGTGGATGGGAGACCGGCGAGGAGGGCGTTAGAGTAGTCCAGCCGAGAGGTGACAAAGGCATGGACCAGGGTTTCAGCGGCTTTGGCGGAGATGGGCGATGCGTTGGAGGTGGAAGAAAGCGGTGCTGGTGAGTGATCGGATGTGGGGGAGGAAGGATAATTGGGGGTTGAACCTGACGCCTTACCCTCCTCTTTTCAAGGGAAAAGAGTCCAAGCATGTTCAGCCTTTCCTGAACATTTAATTGGATCATGGCTGATCTGTACCTAAACTGATGCTTTCTCAATGCACTTCAGCCTATTTATAACCAAATAATAACCTCTATACACGCAGGAGTGTATAACATGGTCCTCAGATGTGGGGTGAGTCAGTACAATATTGACCCAACTAAAAAAGTCATTTGAATACAGTGGCTAAACATTGCTTCTCAAAGTTGTGTTGTGTTAAGGAGGGTGCGTAATTTCAAAATACTGTACCTGTTTAAGCACGTTGTTTTACACTTCACTTTTGTGCATTATTAGAAACTTGTCCGGTCACAGAGTGGGCACCAATCCTCTACAAGGACTCCTGCCACTGTTATTTATTTTGCGGACTACAGTATTAATTTCCTGAAGACATGGATTGGGAGAGTTGTCCTGTATGTATATGTTTAGATTACAGATAGTAAAGGATCAGAAGCAACTGATTTGCAATTGCCAATAGAGTAGCTAAAATGTGTCCATATCTGGAATATGTGCAAAAAAAATCTTCCTGAATTTCATAGTTTACCTTCATCATAGCAATAGGTAGACTATAAAACACTTGATCAGCTATGTCTATGCTTGTAAACTCAATCATGCAAACAATATTTGATTTTTTTAAGTAAGTAGTGATGTATGAATTCAGAAAGTAATTTACATACAGTGAAACTCTGGTAACTCGTCACCCCAAGGGAAATAGCTCAAATGACTACTCATCACAGTTGACTAGTTACCCAGAGTACACACTGAATCTTCCGAATAGCCAGGATATTGAGTGAGTGTCTTGTTATGTGGGATAGACTACTTATCTCAGAAGCTAGCTTTACTGTATCTATTTAAGAAAAACTGTTTCCAAATGACACTTCTCAACTGTCAGTACTTACATAGAAAGATAGGAATGTAGAGGAAGTCTTATCGCCCATAAATATACAGTCAGTTCACTTTACAGTCTATTCTGTGAAGCGCTTTGAGATGTCGAGAAGACATGAAAAGCGCTATATCAAATGCAAGGATTATTATTACTATTATCTGCCCAATTCCGAAATAAAGCAAATACACTACTGTATCCCTTCCACCCTGCAATTGATTTCTTCACCAAACAGCTACGGGAAACTCATGATAATTCAATCCTGACTTAACTCGTCACTCCCAAGTCATTATGATGTCAATATCCCGGACACATTTATTTATGAATTTATACATTGCCAAATTTGGCACTCCTTAAAATCATCGGAACCCTTTTCCCTTGGAGCGATGAGCTATCAGGAGTTTATTGTATCTAATTCCTAGTTTCATTTTCTAACACAAGCTCATTGTATGTGATGCTCTTTGCGATGTTTCAACAAGCACTTTGTTCAATGCAAGTATTATTTTATTTAATCATCCAATGAAAGTGTACGGAAGATGGTAAAACACCACACAAAATTCAAAGTGTCATATCCTCAGTGAATTCTCCACGGTTAATATGACTTGTTTTGACTTGGAATCAAATGCCCTTAAAATGTATCTCAACATTTGAGGCAAATAACCAATCTGCAATCAACATTGTTTTAAGATGAGCCAAACGGGAGGAAGTTCTGTTCCAGAGTTAAGTATCAACGTAAACCTGTGCAAACATGCTTGCATGCAAATGTATCATTGAAAGAGTCAAACTAATAAATTCTAGACATTTTAGTATTTATCAGCTGTATTAAGGCAAACATTTAGCAGTGAGATTAATTGCCATAAATGATAATGCCTTTAGATTTTAAAATGGCTTTTTGCCTAAAAGATTGTGATTGTTTCCTTTGATTGATAATAATTGAGGTTAAGATGCTGCAGAAAGCTCACCATGACCTAGCAATTGCGCATTTTAAGACTGATGATAAAACTTGCAGCAATCCAGATTTCATTTTGACCAAATATAGAATGGAGCAAGATACTCTAAAATAATTGAGATATACCAACCTGAAGCTTGTACTGAGCTGCCTGTAATTTACTGCAGCCGCTTTACATGCAGTGAGTGGATTAATAAAACAAATGAACAGCAAGAAAATATGATAGGGATGCATTCTTTATTTGCTCATAATTTTGATGTTGGTTATATTTAATATTCAATAATAGATATACAAAATGTATTTGTCTACAGTTAAACTAATCAGGCCATATCTGCAAGTTCAATTCCTCTGGGCTAACTGTGGAAGTAAAACAATAAGAACCCTACCAGGTTTGTAAATACTTTGAAATGATTATAAAATTAGTGTTTTCTAAAATACATATAAGCATCAACTAGATATGCCATTTCCTCTTTTATGAATTGAAGATGCACAAAATTAGTTGATTATGGAGTAGAATAAATATATTGATCTGTAAAGAAATTCCAATAGAAGTAGGTCAGACTGTTTTCAAATAATGAACATAGATATAAATATAACAATCCTCGAACTTGATAATAGTTCTTTATCAAGATATCTTAAAGAGCTTCACAGGATATACTGTAAAGTGTGAATATGTGAAAGTGTGACTGTGTGTATTTTGTGGGTTAGCATCTGGAGATTCTGGAGGACAATAAAACCCACCAAGTATATTTTATTTATTTTGTAACCTATGTGGAGTCCTGCAGCTCAGTGGTTAGAGCACTCGCCTCGCAAGTGAGACACCTGGGTTCAATTCCAGGCAGAGGGCGAAACCTTGGGCAAGTTTCCTTACTCCACACGCCTAATATTAATCCCTCCAAAAACAAAAATAATAATAAATTGGTCATTTTCAATCCACGACTGTTTGTGGGACGCTGCTGTGCGCAATTGGCTGCCGCATTTCGCCCACAAATATACGGTCAATTCACTTTACAGCATATTCTGTGAAGTAGTTTAAGAAGTCTAGAAGACGTGAAAAGTGCTATATCAAATGCAAGGACGATTATTATTATAATTAGCTTTGTAAATCGCATTTGGGAAACAGAAAATAAACATTTACTACAATACCAAAACGTTTCTTTTCCTACAAATATCCCTGGCCTTTTTTCCTGGAATAAACCTAGTGGAGCTGTCTAAAATCTAATGGGTGTGTTTTCAGGTGAACATTGTACTCTCCTGTCCATAAACCGAGGCAAAAGGAAAATCAGAAAACAATGATTAATAGCTGGTCAGCACTGCATTTCAGTTGGACTATGTACAAGTTTGGAAAAGCAAAAGGCTTGTAAATCATGTCAGTTGGGTTGTATCTGAACTCTGCTTACAGCACTCTGTGATTATAAGTTTGAAATTAAAACTTCATTGGTTAAATATGTTACACAAGGATGCCAAGAAAAGTATATGCTTCAACTTGGCAAAAGTTTAAGAGCAAGATTATTTTTATATTGTAAAAAAGCAGATTATTGATGTTCATGGGTTTGGTCCTATGACAGATATGTAACTTGAACTCATGAAATAAAATAGAAATATGTTTGACTTCTTTTAAGTTTCCATCACATTTGGCAACATTGAATTTAAAGGCTTATGTGCACAGAGTACAGTACT